TCCTACACACAGGCGACACCTTTCCTGAACGTTTTTTTGACAAATTTATTAGTTGAATAGGAGTGAGAAAAGCACAACTTTGCATCACTGCCGCTCGCAATTCGTATCTGGAATTGGTCAGCAATTTGAAAATAAGATCTTTCAACCCGCTCCAGAGGTAAAAGTCCATAGGCGTTAGGTCCGGTGGCTGATCTGCCAACGATTGGGTCCTTGGTCGGCAATCCAATTATTATCAAAATTAGCAGCGAAAAAATTGGTGACAATTGCAGTGTTGTGAGGAGAAGCCCTGTCTTGTTGGAAATATATTTCTTAGACCTCCATTAGTGGCAATTCATCAACAAAGGGTTCAATATTTTTCCTTAAAATTTCTAAATACTTCTGAGAAGTGAGAGTGCCGTGATGAAATAACCAGCCGATAATTCAACTTCTGAAAACACCTGCCCACAGACTAAATTCAAATCTTCTTTGGATTCTTTAATACCCAATAGAATGAGGATTTTGTTGTGCTCAAGTATAAGAATTGTAGCGGTTGAAAATGCCGGCACTTCTTATATAAGCTTCGTCTGTCCCAATACAAGTTAACGAAAAATCACGCTTTCTAGGAACTACTGGCAAAAAGCTATGCGCCTTTCAAAATCTCCTGGTCTGAGTTGATGAATTCTTCTGGTACCATGTGGCTTGAATTTGTTTTATTTTCAAAATCCTGCGAAAGGATACCTTGCGAAAGGATACTTACCTTCCGTAGTACAAATTGTTTGCTGCTTCTGCATTTCCACGATTTGAATAAAACAGACTGTAATGTCCCATTTTTCATAATTCTCATACTTTGTTGCGAATATGAAAATTGAACAGAAACCACTAAATAAAGAGAGTCTTTACTGTTTGAATCAAAATTTGACAGTACCAGTAAAGATCTGCATCCTGTTTTATCGCCTCACCATTAGGTTTGTCATAAACTTTGACCCTGAGATATAGCCATCAGTTTTCATGTATCTAGTTTGAAAACAGTAGTTCCCCTTTGAAAGTTTTCAATTTGGCTCACTCTGTACAAATATAACTTCAAAATTAGGTTTTCAATTCCTATAGGTAAATACTATTTCTGTTGGAAGAAACTAACATGAAAATGCGCCCAATTTTAGGTAATCTTCCAATTAACTAATCAGCTCGAATATACAATAAGAGTTAGTTATAAAAATCAGACCGAGTTATAAGATATTCAATTTTTTTGTCATCGATATTTTTTCTAAGAAATTTTTCAGATTAATTCAGAAGAATTTGGGAAAATATGATATTTTCACAAAAGTCTTTAGCTTATTTTGAATCTTTCACAATTTCCATCAGTTTGATATTATTTATATTTATGTCTCACTACAGAAACGTTTTTTCATAAAGCTTTCTCATCACTTGTCGACTACCAGAATAGTTGGTCATTGATCAAAACAGCATTCAAGGCGTGGTACGCGCGCTTGACTTTGGAAGTAAGAAGCTGGTGAATGCGTGACGACGGCGTTACGAAAACTGTGATCGAGCGAGGCCAACGGAAGTTGAGAGGGAGGTATAAGTTACCGAAGATAGAAAGTTACGTTTCGTATATTACTGGGCAAAAGAGAGAGAGAGGCGCAAGCACACATTTGCAGTCGAGTAGGCTTTGAAGAATTAGGCAAATACATTGCCACTATATAATTTCAGCAGAAGATTTCAATGTTAATTTCGCGTTCGAAGATGGCATTTTATAACAAACAAAATAACAAATCTACTATGACAAATGTTAAAATATGTCCAGTAGTAACCAAGACATTCTCCAACAAATAGGTATTTAGTTGAAGGGGATTGAAAAACCATTGTTTTTTTGAAGGCAGTATAAATATATATTCCTCTGAATTATACTGTTAACAGATACATCGCACCTATCAATAAGACCGACTTGGCATTTTATCGGGATTATTCGTGATATTCTTCAGTTTACTTCGAGAGCGCGTTGTTGTTCGGGAATCGTAAAGCTTCCAAAATTGTCACCATTAAATATAAATGGAAAAACAATTGCTATGAATGTATATAATTCTTTAAGAATACAATATCCGTCCGAAATAAAAAGTAAGGAGGAAGTAGTTTAGAATTCTCAAGGAACTCAAGGAAAACAACAACTTTTTCGAGTCGAAAGTATCCACTGGTAGAAAGTGTTTGGTTATCGATGAAGAAGTGAAGAATTCTATTAGGAGAACAGTACACTCTTTTTACATAAAAAATGAAATACCTACATTTAATAAAGTTTTGTCAGTTATTCGTGAAGACAGTTTTTTTCCTGATATAAGAAGAACTCGATTATGGAAGATATTAATGGGCTGAATTTCACATTTGGAAAGCAAGATAGAAAGAGCATGTTAATGAAAAATCAGAGATTGTAGAATGGAGAAGAAACTATATAAGAGAAATAAAGAAAGCCAGAGCACATGAAACATGGGTCAATGTGGGTCATACCGTCTCGAAGGTTTGGCAAGATCAGAACATCAAAAGTGGAAGACAAGCCTTTATGAAAGGTTGGTCCACTGGATTGAAAATTCCAGTTGGAAAAGGTTGTGGTCTTATCATCACTCACATAGGCAGCAGTGAAGGATTCGTGAAAGATGGATTTATGTTGTTTGTGAATCGAAGAAAAATGGGGATTATCACAAAGAAATAGATGCCACAGTATTCGAAGAATGGTTTGAAACATACTTGTAAAACTTCCGCAGGGATCCGTAATAGTAATGAATAACACAAGTTACCACAGTAGACGAGTCGACGAGCTGCCAACGTCGTGTTGGAAGACAGCAGATATTACTGAGTGGTTACAAATGAAAGCTATTCCTTTTGAATCAACCATGTTGAAAGCGGCGCTCCTCAACTTGGCTAAACGTCATAAGTCAAATTCGTCAGGTATGTCACCGATGAGAAGGCGAAGACTAAAGGAATGTCGGTTCTTCGGTTGCCGCCTTATCACTGTGAATTGAATCCAATAGAGTTGGTTTGGGCTTAAGTTGAAGGATTCCTCGCAAGGCATGATAAGACCTTCAAGCTGTGTGAATTAAAGAAATAAGTTCCTATACAGTGCTCTGGAAACAGTCGATCAAAAAGCTTGGGAAAAATGTATCCACAAAACAATCAGAATCGAAGCAGAGATGTGGGATCTGGATGATTGCATAGACTCATTATCAGAAAAAATTATTCCGGTTGTCATCAATTCTAATGAAACTAATTCATCCAGTGAAGAATCACTCAGATTAAAATTATCGCAATGTCTTATTCGAAGTAAGTATTTCCATTAAATCTAAAAAATTGGTTCGGATTCAACTATAAAATTCAATAAGGAATATGAATCTTCATTTCCAAACCAACAAGAATATATAAAGTGTATCTCTCAGTGCAGCCACACTTTTCTACTTTCTGAAAATGTCAAAGTCGAAGCCGAAACGTCGAACAACGCAAAATTTTGAACGCGGTTCAACTCGAAATCAGATGTTCAAATTTATAACCACGAAAATCTATTCTATTTGTATACTTATCTGGTGATGTTTCGAATATTTTATCCATCTCCATTATCATACCGACGATCAATTTGATATTATCAGTGTCAATGATAATAATAATATCAAATTTATTTACATCAAAAGACAAATCATAACTACAAATTATAATGTTTTGATTCAAATAGGTTGGTAAGAGAAAATGTATAGAGTCTTTTAAACGTCATCAGATGATACACACTTCTTTCAATATGCAAAAAGTTTTAAATTCAAGTTAATGGCAAATCTGATTTTTTTCCAAAAAGCTAATTCATCAAATGCAGTCGCATATCCCTATTTTAATGGCTCGTTAGCGGCGTTCTCAGGGGATATAGAGGGTAGACGTATCTCAATGATTTTGTGGTTGAATTGTAGTGCTATTTGCTTGAGACGACTATGTTGCTTTTTTTGATATAGCGACATGTTTGCATTCTTGAAATCCTTTTACTCTCAGACAATACTGAACGAACTGTAGCAAGAATAGGAATCACTCAAGTGCTCTTACACACTGAATCGAATGAGGTAAATTATGAGGCATTTTTTTTATTATTATTGAAGTTATTTTAATATTCATTTCATCAGCTAGTTATGTAAATTTTTCGTTACAACACTACGTAAATAATATTATACTAAATGCGAATTTTGTAAATCAAAATGAAATCAATTTTTGAATAAATATTCAAGACTGACAGGCTTATAATTTTTATTTAGGGAGAATCCAGCATTTAAAGAATTGTTGAAGGAATTGGAATCTAGTACCACCTGCCAGTTTTTAACTCTTTATTCGTTTCTAATGTTACCAATGCAGAGGATAACGAGATGGCCACTTTTATTAGACGCCATTTTGAAAAGACTTTCAGAAACTGATCCTGAGTATCTCACGTGCCAATTCGCATTAGCAAGTTTGAATGAAGTAAGTACTACATATTTTTAAGATATGAGAGGTTGTAAGTGAATAATAAACAACGTCAACCTTCTGATGAAGTACATGACTGCAATCGATTTGTCATTGATTGTCTGACACTTTTAAATTCACCTAGAACATTCCTTATGGACTGTCTCTAATAACGTGGAGATTTTCGTCGGCCCAAAAATAGTCATTATGAAACTTCATAATAGCATCTCGTGAAGAATTTGCTTCGTCCGTAAATGAAATATTTGGTAAAAAAATGTATTGTGTGCCATCGTATGAATCAACCACCTGCAAACATTAATCCTGGGTGAAAATCCCGAAGCAGCAGAGCTTTGACTCGCTGTATGTGTGTAGAAGGTTTTTTTAGATGATTTCCAGCTGCAGAGCAATCTTTCTGGTAGTATTTGAAGGATTTTCTTCTATTTCATGAAATAAAGCTTCTTCTAGTTCAGGCGTTATTACAGTTTCTTGTCTTCTATCACCTGCATTTTTATTAAAACTCTCAGTTTTAAATTACCTTGCATGTAGCGTTCTAAATGTTTTAGCACATGGAATTACTCTGTTGAGCATTTCCTTTTGCAAAGTGCATTCCAGCCATTTTAGCATTATTAAAATTATTCATGATGGAATCACTGCCAATCGACAACTCTGACTTTCACTGATATGACAGCACTATCACTGTCAGCTGGTCTCCAAAGCAGGTGTTCATGATATGCGAAGTGGTATCAATTTTTTTTCTCGAAAACCAAGCAAGATATGAAGAAAACACAAGCTACTAAAAATTTGTATTTTCAGTTGATTGATTTAAAAAAATAAAACACCATAACAACAAGTCAGTGTTGTACTTTTTTCACCAATATTGTTTGTTGTGGTGTTCGCTGAGACTCCACTGAACCTTATCATTTCAATTTAGTTCCGACTATATAACCGCCTCATAACTTCAAATAACTGTAGCAAATTTCAACCGAATCTGTGTTAGGATATTTCTTTTCTTAGAACAAGTGATACAGTTCATACAATATCTACTTGAAATGTTTTACTTCCGGTAATTATCATCAAAGCACATTTCTGAAGTATTCAAGTCATCGAGTGAGAAATCCATGCTTATCAATGTATCACTACAATTACTATCATTATATTGTATTTAAATTATCTGTCAGTGCCATCATCGAATCCAATGTATGCATACACTGTGTAGATATTTAACTATGGTTATTGAATTTCGTTTCCTGCAAATGGCCGGCAACGGATATCTCTCTTTTACTTTCACCATCAACTCTGGCGTTCCCCAGGGATCCATATTGTCTCCAACCCTCTTGTTATCGTAAATCAACGATCCTGATATAATAATGTCAGGTCAGACAATTCCGCTTTCTGCTTCGATAAGTGTGTTGGGGGTTAAAATGGACACCAAATATGTCTTGGCACAATCATGTTGCTGGAATTACAAAGGCTGCTTCTCAAAAACTTGGAACACTGTTCCGAACCAGAAAGCTGTAACACACCTCAGCAACTTTTGTACTTTATAAAACTCAGATCAGACTTTCTTTGGAATATTGCATACGCTGAAGCTGCTGGATGCCATCTAGAAAAGAGTCATCCGCATGATTTCATAAGCGAACATCACATCAACAACAAAATCGGAATATCGAAGAGAAAGGTTGGAGATTTGTCTTTCTTCTATAGATATTTTCACGGGAAGTGTTTAAGTGATTTGGCGCATTTGATTCCACTAAGAGCAGTACATATCAGAAATACTTGACGGACTGTGGCTGCTCATCGTTTTGAGGTTCAACTCAGTACACCTCGAATGACACTATTTAAGAAGTCTTTCATTTTGAGAGTTGCGTTTAGCTGGAATAAACTTCCTGAGAACGTTTTTCCAAATGGATTTGATTACCAGCGTGATTATCAAATTCAGTGTGAATCACTATTTTCACACAGGCACCGCTCTTAGAGCGTCTTAAGCATTTGTCTGTAGTGTTTTCGTTTTTTCAAAAAAAAATGTTGAAAATTTTGAACCTCACAAAACTACTGTTATTTGAGCCACCCAGCTGAGGTACTCTCATTATTGGGTAATACATTTTCTCTCTAATGGTCTCCGGTACTCAATACTACAATTTCAGGGGCTCTTGGATACCTTGAAATTTAGCCTAATGACTCCTATTACAATCGCTTCATTCATTTATATCAAACTTCAAGAATATGTATTCATTTATTTCTTCTTATATATTGGAATTCGAACCCAAATTCTGTCCATCCAAGCAACGGAGTACTCCAAAACATCATCATGCATAGTGCACGTGATCTTCCAGACAAGGCTGCTTGTACAGAGTCGGCAGGACGATCGGATAAACATTTTTTGATTTGAAAATGCGTATAGAATGAAAAATATCAATGAAATAATAAATCCTTTTGTCATTTTAGACCAATTACTGATTATGAAGACCTAGAAGAATCATCATTAAAATCAATTATCAACGGATTTCTGTCAAGTAAATCATTTATTAGATGGTGTTAACTTTCATTTTCAGCTTCACTGAAAATATTTTTGAGATCACAAAATTTTAGAGTAGTATTTTTTGGCAACATAGTTTTATATGTGCGACCAAATAATTCTATTGGGTTGAGCTCGCAGTGGTAGGGGAAGACGTAATACTATTCTCTTAAGTGCTTTAGCAATTTCGTCAACAGAGTATTTTGTTCATTCACTATCCTTAAAAGTTCCGCTTTCACCATGTTTTCCTTGAAAGGTTTACTTTTCAAACGCATCCTGTGATGAATTACAGTTTTTTTTTGCGGCTGTAGTACGAATGTTTTCAGCTCTTCTGGAATGGTAATGAGCGTTGTCTAAAACAATTACACAATTCTCTTCTAGTTTCGGAACTATGTTCCGAAATTCTCATTTTCTCATAAAGTTGCCCGTTTTCTTCGACTCGAAGGCCCACAAGGCGTCGCTTCCTATGTGACATACTATCAACCTTTTTCCTTCTCCTGAAAAAGTGAAATAGGGGAAAATACGAATAACATCATATAACAATAATACATTTTTTGTTCACATACATAAGCGGTGATTCTTATAGTCTATCCATTCCCAATTGGAACGGCAATTAAAATAAGAGTACAGTCATAAACATATTTTGTCTGTGGTACCTAGTCGCCCAGATAGTTAGTAAACGTGCTATAAAATGTAGTTGAGGAGTAAAGGCTCGGCTAGCTGGATGATAACATTATTAGCGAGTTTCGCTAATAAGGTTAGCATCTTCAGGAGAAGCAAATTGATACTGAATCCGAAGACAAGGGTTAGCTGTTTATATACCTAAAGTTTTTGGTCCGATGCGGACTTTGTTTGTTAAATGATGATTATCCTAATTGATTTTTCGGTAATAAACTAGTGAAACCACTACCTGCAAATAAATTTGTCTGCTTTTTAATCTATTGTTGACAAATTAATTTGCAGGTAGTGCTTCCATTAGTTAATTACCGAAAAATCAATTAGGATAATCATTATTTAACAAACAAAGTCCACATCGGACCAAAAAACTTTAGGTATATAAACAGCTCTTTAGATTCAGTATCAATTTGCTTATCCTGAAGATGCTAACCTTGTTAGCGAAACGCGCGTCGAGTGCAAAAATATCATTTTGGTGTTGGGGTAATTGATCTCTAGTGCGAACAATTTATGGTATATACCAAAAAAATTAAGTACCAACCTTGAAAATGATTTGGTATAAATTACTCGACTATCCCGATTACAATTACAAATTTTTAGAAACTCTACGAGGTGTCTAATTGTCTTGTGGTTTCAAATAAAAAAAATTGAACAATTGGATGGACATAATGGAATCGACATGCATTGTTCAACTCTGACAAGAATATTTGAGGCGAATGAAAAGCTACCGAGAATCCAGCAGACATATAATGTACCTCGACGAAACTTGGTTTGACACCCATGATGTTGTCAAATACGGCTGGGTAGACGAAACCATGTATTGTGCTTGGAACACACCTTCTTCAAGGGGAAAACGTGTTATAATTTTGCATGACGGGAATGAAAGTGGTTTCGGACCTAACGCTTTGCTTCTGTCGGCCAAAAATATAAAAGATTCATCTGCTGATTACCACGAAGATATGACTGCGGCTTTATTCGAAACCTGGTTCAGTGAGCAGCTTCTCCCAAATATTCCTCCACTCTCGGTTATTGACTACAATACCAAACAATAACACAAAAACAGCAGATATTGTTAATTTCATGCAAAATCATGACACGGAAATACCCGAAAAGATTCCAACGAAAAAGGTATTACTGGCGATCATAAAATAACGTAATTTGAAAAAAGAATATATATTTAATTCGATGTGTGAAACACGTGGTCATATTCTCTTACGTTTGCCTCCATACTATTGTGTGTTCAATCCAATTGAAATGGTTTGGGCCACAATGAAAGAAAGCTTGCGGAAATGTAATCAGACACCGACTTTGAATGTTGTAGTGCTTGACAATATAAGGCAAGAGGTGAATGAAGTAGGTAATAGTGATGTGTGGAAGAACTGTATGGCCCACGTTATAAAAGAAGATAATAAATATTATGTGCAAAGTTCCATAAATCTGATCGTTATTCAACCCAATGATGATTCCACCTCTTCCGAATATAGCGAAGAAGAATTTTGATTTTTCTAGCAATTTTGTTGGCCTCTATTATTTTGTAAATATATGTTTGACGAGAATTCGGTGTGATTATTTGTGTTTTCATTGAATTTTAGAGTTTTCGACTCGGAAATCAACTACATTAAATTCTGAAGTTTTTCATAATTACCCATGGTGGAAAAATTCAGTTGAGATAACTTTTTTATGGGGTGATCAATTGCTATTATTGCAAGAATAAGTAAATGAAAAACTACCACTGAAAACTAATATGCCGACGCCTATGTCGAGGCGGGAATTCCTTCTCTGTGCTGTTCCAATTGGTATTTTAAATACTATACCTGAAGGGTTCTTCAAGCCAGTTGAGAGGTAATCTAAAAATGTTTGTCTTGAAAAAGTTATTGATTCATCAACCCAAATTTTTAACTTCATTTACCCATATTTCATCTAGGTAATAGATTTTTCTATTATCTCTTCTGTAGGCTCATATATTTATTAAATACTTGTACTATGTTGCTGTATCGCTGCTGTTCCAATGTTTTGACAGAATCAGAATCAACTAACTTAGGCGTGCGCAGCGTTATAGAACAGTTCTTTCAAAAATGGCGAGTTACAGAAAAATTGATAGGCTAAAACCTTCTCTATGAAAAATTACTTATACATGTCAAGTTTCATTACGCTCGGTTGAACAATGTATAAGTCACCAACCAACCAACCAACCAACCAACCAACCAACCAACCAACCAACCAACCAACCAACCAACCAACCAACCAACCAACCAACCAACCAACCAACCAACCAACCAACCAACCAACCAACCAACCAACCAACCAACCAACCAACCAACCAACCAACCAACCAACCAACCAACCAACCAACCAACCAACCAACCAACCAACCAACCAACCAACCAACCAACCAACCAACCAACCAACCAACCAACCAACCAACCAACCAACCAACCAACCAACCAACCAACCAACCAACCAACCAACCAACCAACCAACCAACCAACCAACCAACCAACCAACCAACCAACCAACCAACCAACCAACCAANGACATTCAAAAGCCCTTGCAACTGTTAGAATGGAATGTATTGTTGGAATTCCGTTTCGAAAAAAATATGTACTTTCCTTCTAATAGCGTTTGAATCGAAATCGTCTACCTTATCAATAATTTTTTTTCGTGAGGGATGTGGTTTTAGAGCCGAAAAATAATGTTTCTGTTTATATTTTGTCATAACTCCAAAGACACTTGAAGGAGACACTCAAGCAATGTTTCCTGAAATTTTCTTACGATTTTATCAACGAATAATAAAGGACTTGCTTCAATTTGATTGTTGTAAATGTCCATTATTTAATTTTTTTCATTAATGTTAAGGTGCAGGTTTTTTGGTATTTTTTTAAGTGGAGTGTAGCGACACAAATTAGCAGTTTCTTCAGTCGTATCCGTACTTGACATTTTGAAAATTTCAAACTTCAAAATACTGTATAGGTACACACCGCAGGCGTTTTAAAACGTAACACTGTAACATGTAACATGAATTTCGCCAACCGATGTCAATAGATGCAAATGCGCGTGGAGATCATGCTTTGATCACGCATCTATCGTTGTTAGGGTTGCTTTCTTCGTTGGATGGATATAGTCTAGCCTCGATTCTGATATCACAGTAGAGTACATTACATTGAAAAAGTCACAACTTGTTCACCTTTATTTCACCTCTGCCATACAGGTCAGGCAGCAGACGGATTCAATTGGGACAGAAAGAAAAAAATAGAACTTCATTCGTTATAGCATTTCCAATCTCCTGGAAGCAAAAAACGACTTCATTTTATGTGGGCAAGATGGAAAACTCCTCTTCCAATGGTAATCAGTCAAACCAAGTTAGCGTATTATGGATCTGAAGAAACGCACGTCGAGAAAAATATGCATTTCAGATGAATGGGTGTTCGTTTTGGATTTGAGAAATCTGATTATGAGCCCAAACGACAACTTTATCTATACTGCACAATACGTATACACTCGGAAATAGTAACCAAGTCTGATAAAGCATCCCAGCTACCTATTCAGTTCATTTTTGTTGAGTTTTGTTGAGAATTATTTGGAACGCTTGTCCTCGCGACGAATTCTGGAGTTAGGAGGGACAGCCAACGCCTGCATTCACGTCAGAATCGGAATGAGATAAAACCAGAATGGCTTCAGAAAAGTTCAACCAGCAATTATCCCAAAACAGTCCACGCATTAAAAACTTTTGAAAGGGGACCGCAAAAAGAGAATTGCCGCGAGCACCAATATCATATAGAGAAAGGTCCTATCTTTCTTCTTTTTTGTCTCTATCTGTTTGACGTATATCCTGCAAATATACATCATTCATTCGAGCATAAGAATTTTTTGGTCAAGTCTGAAATGATATTTCGTTCCGCAACACTGTGGAAAAGTTGGCGATTTCATCTCTTTCAGGGTATTTATCTGATCTATGCTCTCGGGGAATACTCAAAAGTAATGAGAACAAATAAAATATTTTGGAGTCACTATGTCATTTTGCAGAGTTCTACAATTTCCTGGAAGTTTTGTCTCAGTATATTTATACTCTTCCACAACAAATATTCATCTCAGGCTATTCATCAATTGCCTGAAATCAACTGAGGAAAACTCGATATTTGCAGTAACAACCATGTTAGATTAATAGATGACGAATCTGAATAATGTATTATATTTTAGCTAAGTGGGAATAATGAAAAATACTGTATGAAATATTGAATTCGAAACCGAGATTAAAGGTGGTATTTAAAGTTATTTTGCTAGAGCAGAACATATGTATGCAACAATATACCAGTTTCAATAAGGCCGCATCAATTCAGAAATATCCGATTCGACTCGTAACAAATTACACTTTTGATTATTTTTAATATTATCCAGCTTCTCAACGAAGCTGACTACTTTATTTGGTGAGTGATCTTTCAGGTCATTTGGCAAAAGTAAAGCTCTACCAAACACTAAAATATGATTTGCTTCGTGGTGGGCCACGTATAGAGTATGAACTGTCCTATTTCATCATCTACCAAACAGAGATGGCACGTACTGTCTTCCGACAGTCCAATTTGGCGAGTGATCTTTCAGGTCGTTTGTCAAGAGTTAAGCTCTACCAAACACTTAAATCTGATTTGGTTCATAGTGGGCCACATATAAAGTATGTGCTGCCCTATTTCATCATCTCCCAAACAGAGATGGCACACACTGTCTTCGAACAGTTCAATTTGGTGAGTGATCTTTCAGGTCATTTGTCAAAAGTGAAGCTCTACCAAACACTAAAATCTGATTTGCTTCATGGTGAGCCACGTATAGAGTATGTGCTGTCCACCATCTTCCAACCAGAGATGACACGCACTGTTTTCCGACCGTTCAATTTGATGACTGATCTTTCAAGTCAGTTGTCAAGAGGCAAGCTATACCAAATACTAAAATCTGTTCTGGTTCGTGGTGGGTCACATATAGAGTATGTGCTGTCCTATTTCATCATCTTCCAACCAGAGATGGCACGCACTGGTCTTCCGACAGTCCAATTTGGTGAGTGATCTTTCAGGTCATTCGATTTCGTTTGTGGTGATACACTTGTAGAGTATGTGCTTTTCTCATTCATCATCCTCCAAACAGAGATGACATCACATGAAATGCCTGTGTGTACGCCTGTTGAATAATCTTGTTCCTCCTAGTGTTTTGACCATTTTATTTGAAACAAAGAGTAGTAAATTCACTACAACTGTAGGTCGAGTGCCTAGAGTAAGAATGTTTTCACCTTCATAGATGAAGGAAAGAGCTCATGCGTAGCTCTCTACAAGGTTGGAAATGCATCCGGTTCGAACACCGAACCACCATCTTCTCACCCCTTATTACCTAGGTAAAAATTAATTAGAAGAGATTCACCTGTTTCCATTAAAAAGTGTTCAGTTCACTTCAATTGTTCACCACCTAACTCCAATCTGACATTGTATTGTACCTTACTTCTAAGGATGTCTAAATATTTCAGAAAGGCCAATTTTAGTAGATTTTGCTAGAAGTATAAAATACTTTTGTATGTTGTCCACCTAAATAAAGGGAAGGAGGTAAGTCTAGAAGAATTTCAAAGATCGCTGACGATGTGCTGTAGAAGACACCGAAATAGTTCCTCCTGTCTCTGTACAACAGATAATCGGACCATAATTGCGAATCTTGTCCGCCATTGTGCAGCCGCCATCTTGTTACTTCCCCTAGAAAAACTCCACAATGCATTGTCATCGAATTTATGTCAAATTAGCTTGCGAATGAAGTATCATAATTTGGAGTACGGAACATTTTTTTTTCCGCAAGAAGGCGCCAAAATCGAAAGCTAGGTAGCTGAAATTGACATGGCTGAATTCCTTTTGAAATTACCTTTATAACGATGTGTCACACTTACTAGTTTTCCTATTCAAATTGTTTGGATGATAGTCACCGAGGGGTGGGGGAAGAGGTATGACAGTTGAGGTTATGATAGGAAGATGTCCCCCTTGTATTACAAATCGACGTGTTTTTGCATTTTTTTCAGAATACATGTGTTTTGAAGATATTCGATCTGTTTCGTTTTCGGTACCCCACTCTGTATGTAATATTATAGGTTAGGTTAGGTTCAAAGTGAGTGGGCCTATTCGCTCATGTAATATTATAAGTTAACTTTCAAAATTAAATTTATTTTCTGCAGATAGTGGGACAATGTAACGATGCAGCTAGAAAAAAGGAGCAAGAAATTGAACTGAAACGGATATCTCATTCACTTGACTTCGCTAAAGCACTACCTGCTATAGACATTCAAAAGCCTGAAAGGTGGCTGATAAAATCAGGACAAGTTACTTCTTTCCAACCAAGAAATGGAGATACACAAATGACTCTGGGAAAGAGGTTCAACAAGGTTCCTCTGCATTTGTTTTTGTTTAATGACCTGTTTATCGTAACGAAGAAAAAAAGGTAAGTTATATTTTGAAAATTAAGTATTTTTTTATGATTATTAGGTTGATCCAAAAATTTTGTCCATTTCAATGCCATGTCTTTTTGTAGCTCCATAGCTCAATAAATATTAATTCTTAGGTTTCATGGTATACAGGGTGTTTCAAATTTGATCCTCACTATTTGGATCTCGGAAACTATGAGAGATACGAAGATGGTTAAATTGGGGCAAAGTTGTGCATTTACTTGACTAACAATGTCGTTGAAAAAGTTCTGAAATCCCGAGTATATCCGGAGATATACGGAAAAAACAGAAATTTCCGAAAATGGTTTTTATTTTTTTCTGGCTTAATTTTGTTTTTTTCGAAAAAGAATGATAACTAATGATACATCATTGAAAAGGTTAAATCTGGTTCTATTCAAAACAGAAAAACAAAAAATAAAGTTGAAGATGGTGGCCGGAAAACGAAGCGTCGGATAGCAAATCTGAAAACACCATCATGTAGCAGGGAAAAAGTGGCAATGTGGTAGTGCATTTTATTTTCGAATCCTTCGAAAAATAAAGCTACAAAAAAAATAAAAACCATGTTCCGAAATTTTTGTTTTCTCCGGATTTCTCCATATATACTCGGAACTTCAGAACTTTCTGAACGGTATATTGTTAGTCAGGTAAATGCGCAACTTTGCGCCAATTTAACCATCTTTGTATTTCTCATAGTTTCCGAAATCCCAACGGTGAGGATCGAATTTGAAATACCCTGTATACGGATTGATGGAGAATTTTTTACACTATACATTTATGCTATTAGTAATTTTTTTCCAAATTAATTTTTTGCCCCTTTTCAGCTCATTACTATAGGATGTCGTTAAGCTATTTTCGGTCAATTTTTCTCTACAAATTCAAATTGAACCAAAGCGCTACCGAAATATCAACCAGGCATTTGGCAATGATAGTGTTAATGATAGCATTTTCCGACATTGGTTTGCGAAATTTCGTTCAGTAGATTTTAGACTGTAAGATAAAGCCTCGAAATGGTCGATCAACAGTAATCCAGGACGAGAATTTGAGGACGCTGGTAGAAACTGACAATGACAAATGTTGCGTGGGAGAGAGCAAGAACTGGGCGTCAGATCCCATGCGGTTTTTGATGGTTTAAAACACATTGAAACAGTCAAAAAGCTCGATAAGTTGGTGCCCTACGATTAGAACGATTTAATTGTCACGTTTCGAGATCTGTTATTCTTTGCTTTTTCATAACCCAAACAATCATTTTTGGATTGGACCGTCACATGTGGTGGAATGTGGATCCTTCAGGACAACAGGAGACGTTCAGGGCGACAGTGGTTAGACACCGATGAGCCACCCAGGCACTCTCAAAAAACAGATCATAGTAGTCAGCGGCTGGAGTGATTCACTCTCTGTAGCCGGACCTATTCATCACAGCAGAGTCCCATTGTGAGATAATCGACGAAATGTACCAAAAATTTCATCAGCAGCAGCCATTACTGGTCAACTGGAGAGGTACGATCTCACTTCACGACAACGCCCATCTGCACGTTCCACAAATTACCTTCCAAAAATTGAATGAACTGGGCTTCGAAGTTCTGCCTCACCCATTATACTCCCCAGACCTTTTGCCTACCGACTACCATTCGTTAAGCACTTCGATAGCTTTCTCACCGGTAGAACCTTCGCCAATCAGAACCAGGCAAAAACGGTCTTTGTCAATTTCATCGAATCCCGAGCACCCATTAATAAACTTGTTACAATGGCAAATGTGCACTGATTAAAATGGCGCTTATTTCGATTGAAATGAATGTTTCCTATGAGATATTTCATTTTTTACATAGACTCATGAAAGCGAACAAAACTTTCGTAACAACCTAGTATTTGACTTTTTGATAAATTTTGTGAGATCAATTCATTATTTGAATCTTCAGCAATCAGAATATGGAAAAGTTGTTGAGTACAAGTAGAGTTGGTATTATTTCTGCCACTTTAATTCGCGTTTTGTGAAATTGCACTATTTCATTGTTTTGTTCATTATTTCCTGATATTATAGTTATACTTTCAATGATTTCTAAGTATATTCTGAAAATATTAGATATTTAGAAACAGTTCTCAAATGATTGAAATGTGGTTATTTATTATTTACATCCTGGTATTCAGTAATAATTAGGTTATACACTCTAATTCGTCGAATATATTTCTTGTAGTCTACAAATATTCCATACTATAGTTGTTCTAGGAACTTGAAAAATCATTTGTGATGGAATTGGCCAGTACACGATGAAAATCTATGACGAACGTAGTTGATACTGATTTGTTAAATAGGCAAAGAAATGAGAAACTGAAAATAAACAATGGTACCATACCATAACTGTGACACTTTTTTCGAAGTGCTGTTTTCAACATCTATTTTTCGTCGAAAGAAGATGACCTGAATTGAATAGTAAACTCTAAACGTTGTTAAAATAACTGAACAAAAAAAAAATGAAACGAAAATAAGTAATGAAAGAAAAAAAGCAAGCTTCTAAAAAACCTATTGCAACAATAAAAAGAGAGCAATCTATCAAGTGGAGACGAATAAAATATGTTCCCGGCAACTGAGGGAAAACAGCTGAAGTCTGAATAGGTGAATGACAAAAAAACCACCAAATGCCAGGGAAAATTTTTGAGGCTTTAGATACAGTTGAAAAGGTAGGAGCCGAAATCAAGGAAACCAGCTTTGAAATGCAGACGTTTAGCGGTCGTGTTGAAGAAGTTGAAAACGAGTTAGGCAAGTTCAACGAACGGATTATGGAAGATATGAATTCTGTCAAAGATGAGGTAAACAAATAACTGAACGAATTGGTGAACATCATTGAAAGATGAACTTGAGCACGAACAGCCAACCAGTTATCCGGTTTCAATGATGATAGTCCTACCGATAGAAGCAAAGACATCGTAAAGAAAGATGAACTTGAGCACGAACAGCCAACCAGTTATCCGGTTTCAATGATGATAGTCCTACCGATAAAAGCAAAGACATCGTAAAGTAATGAAACACTGAAAAATCGAGGTAGCGACAATGTTTGAACAGGAGAGGATATTGAAGTTGAAAACGAGTTAGGCAAAATCAACGAACGAATTATGGAAGATATGAATTCTGTCAAAGATGAGGTAAACAAATGACTGAACGAATTGGTGAACATCATTGAAAGATGAACTTGAGCACGAACAGCCAACCAGTTATCCGGTTTCAATGATGATAGCCCTACCGATAGAAGCAAAGACATCGTAAAGTAATGAAACACTGAAAAGTCGAGGTAGCGACAATGTTTGAACAGGAGAGGATATTGAAGTTGAAAACGAGTTAGGCAAAATTAACGAACGGATTATGGAAGATATGAATTCTGTCAAAGATGAGATAAACAAATAACTGAACGAATTGGTGAACATCATTGAAAGATGAACTTGAGCACGAATATCCAACCAGTTATCAGGTTTCAATGATGATAGCCCTACCAATAGAAGCAAAGACATCGTAAAGTAATGAAACAACTCGTACAATAAAGTTGTAAGAAAAAAATAGGAGTTTGCAAGAATAAGAGATGTTGTTGCAACTGCGAACATAATCAAGAGCTACATAATCAAGAGCTATATAGAGAAATAATCTGCCAAATGAGGAAGTGTAGCAGGATGCTTCTAGATCAAAGTGGAGCAAGAAAATATTACACTGGGTTGAGAACAGGTGACAGATCCATAAAGTCTGAGAAAAACACAAATGGTTAAAATCAAAGTGGAGGCATAGCTCACCGACCATAGAAAAAATCAGGAATGTCAAATAATAAACAAGAAGTATACGTACCACGAAATTCTAGAAGAAATACTATTAGAGATCTGATTTCGTGTGATCTGATTCTGAGTAAGACATGCCAATAGGATGGAAGCGGTAGTAACAAGTGAAATAGCAAAATAATTGTAAAGTAAAAATAGAGTGAAAAGTGTTACATGTATTTAAGGTTATTGAATTACGTTCTTACATATTTATTATTAGGATCCTTTATAGACGTAACCATTTTTTCACATCAGTTGAATTCAAACGAACTTGCATCAAATTTGAAATATATATATTCATGATTTTATCCTCCTATAATTCATTTCAGCTTTTTCATATTTTGAATCATTTGAGAAGATTGAAAATCAAAGTAATTGATAAACATCTCTGGTAATTTCATTCATTCTTTAGTGAACGGAGGTTACTCCGGAAAACTGTACTAAGTGCCATTTATTACTATTATTAGCAACATAGTTGCTTAACTGTTGAAAATCCATTTATGTTTCAGTGATGAATCTTACTCGGTGATACACTACTGCCCTAGAAATATGATAGAACTTCGCAGAGTTGACACGTTCCCAACAATATTGAAGAAGGAAGCACAAGATAAAAGGAACAACTTCATTTATTTGTCCATATTGGAAAATCAGGAAGGAAAAATCATCGAATTGGTGAGTTATACATCTCCATTGACTACGATTTAAAATCATTAGGGATATAAGTATTCTGAATATAATCCAAAACTCCAGAATCAAATTAATAAAACCACCTCGATAAATTGTAAGAAAATATCTACAATCAAACAAGAAAATACCTATCAACGAATCTTAACCATGAAAAAGAAAACTTATTAGAAATTTCTCAAACAAAACTGAAAAAGAATACAAAGAATACAGAAATAAACTTAATATCTTGATCAAAACAACAAAAAATGAATTTTATCAAAATAAAATAGCAGAAGCAGTATAAACAAATTTGGACGGTCATCAATGATATAACAGGGCAGAATAAAAAAAGCAAATAAACAAATAGACAACACTCCAATAACCAGTGAAGTCGGTGAAATATTAACAAATAATAAAGATAAAGCAAATATATTTAATGAATTCTTTACGAACTTGGGTATAAATATGTCTAAGAAAATACAAAGTAGTGATATGAAACCAACCATTTTTCTTGAACCGGTAACGAAAAACGAAATTATTATTCATCTATCAAAACTAAAAAATCAATGTTCCTCGGGCCCAGATAAACTCTCTGTGAAAACTACAAAAACTATACATGAGTACATAATACACCCATTAATCCATATAATTAATTTATGTCTTACTAGTGGAAACATTCCAAAACGATGGAAAGAATCACTCATCACTCCGATTATCAAGACAGGTAATCGTTGTCAAATAAATAACTACAGGCCAATATCCGTCATCAACAATCTAGCAAAAATCTTTGAACATGTAGTTAAAAAAAGATTGACGGAATTTTTTCGCAGGCATAACGTCATTACTGACAGGCAGTATGGTTTCATCTAAAATTCAAACACCAAAAACGCAGTAGTTGATTTTCTAGAGCAAACAGTCGAGGCCCTGAACAAATCATCGAAATGCATAGCAGTTTTCCTAGACGTCGCTAAAGCCTTTGACACAGTATCACACGAAATTCTACCAAGCAAATTGAGTCACTACGGCATTCGTGGTCTCCCACAAATTCTTATGTCAAATTATTCAACAAATACAGTCACGAGAGTAAAAATTGGAAATGAGGTGAGTTCGGAGTCAATAATGAAAATCGAGGTGCCTCAAGGAACAGTGTTGGGCCCAATACTGTTTCTTGTGTACATGAACAATATAGCAAAAATAGGTGGTCTAGGACATTTTATTTGTTATGCTGACGACACAGCCTTCATCTGTGCGGAAAAAAATTGGGAGGTTGTTAAATACACCACCGAAACAAATTTACAGAATATATATGCATGGTTGAATTTAAATACGCTTTCCCTAAATATCGATAAGACTAAATTTGTTGTCTTTACACTCTATGAACATAAATGTATGTGGGTGTTCAACTATTAAAAAATTATCATCAATTAATATTTAGGGGTAGTCCTAGACCAACGCATACGATGGTCTGATAATATCATGCATGTGAACAAATGCCTTAGAATACTTATACACAGTTTTAATTCTCTAAGAGACATCCTCTCCAGAAAACACCTCATGATGCTCTACAACTCCCTAGTCAAATCAATTCTGCCTTACTGCATCACAATATGGGGTGGAGCTTTCAACAACACACTGAACATTATACAAATAACACAAAACACACTATTAAAAAATCATTCTGAACAAAAATAAACGTTTTTCCACCGATAAGCTATATCAGTAAGCGAATATATTAAATGTTAAACTATTATACCCTCATCAACGTTTGAAGAGAATGTTCATAAATCAAGAGAAATTCAACCAGAAAAATATTAGGATAAACAGGTCTACCACTAACATGAATGTTAATGTCCAATCCTTTAAAAAATCAAAGTTCACAATGGCTGAGTTTAATAGATATTATTAGCATATGAGTTGATGAGCTGAAATTATTTATAAATATACGTCGGATAAAAAGAGAAAGATAAAAGGAGTGATAAAGATGGTAATTAAATAAGAAACCTAATTCACTCTCCAACAAATCTCGGTTTCAATTGTGATCAATGATACTTTTCAATGAAATATTCAGAAAACGAAATTACAAATGCAGTGAACTGTTCGTTAGGAAATTATAAATGAAAATGAGATGAAAATGGAAACTTAGATTCACATTCAATATGGAAAACTCATAATCCACACAAGCTGATATGACAGTTCTTCCTTCCTTATTGTATTTTGCGGTTTTTCTCCCGGTGGGCCATACCCTGCTAAAGTCGATCCGTTCAGTAAAATGTGAGTTTCAGAGAAAGCAAAAACTTTTCTTGGAAAAATATATATCATTCTTGAGGTTATAAGACTTTTATCGAACATTTTCCTTCGAAACTTCACACAGAGAAAAAGTACGATATTATCTAGTTGGGTTATTCGCCATTTTTATCTCTTAAAGTCACCGTAAAAGAATCTGGTAGGAAATGTAATTTATTGAATGTATTTCCAGTTTGTTGTTAGTTCAACCAACTGAAATAAATTTACTTGAATTCAAGATGGAAAACAAGAAAACAATTAGAATGATGCTCATAAATATTATAATTGCTTTGTCGTAGTTATATTACAGTTCTGTTTGCTGTTGGTGAAGAACGGTTAGATTATGTTCCTTCTCTGGCAAATCATGTGGACATGGCAATCAGTTTGTTTTGAATAAAAATATTCAAAACCAAAATACCAAAATTACCAAAATCAAAATTACGCACCTAGGGAAAAAAGTTGTGAGTCTGCGCGTTAGTGTTATGTAACCGGAAGAGTATGAGAAACTTTTGTCCCGCATACAGGAGACGAAAAGTAAGGTATAGTCTACCATCTATGAGAGTCAGTCATACGCGTGCATGCATTATGGCCAGGACCGGATTTGGAAGATTGCAGGTCCGGGGCAACGAAGGAGTGTTGGCCCCGGGCCACTTAACTTAACAACTTTCAAATGAAAGAAATTCCTTTCGTCAAGTCATTCCAAAATTCATTGTCAGCAAATAAAATTATTTCAACAAAGAATGTATAATTTTGTTGAAGTGAAATACACTTCATTAAAAACTAAATTACCGCGTTAAAGAATGTAACTTTATAAGCTCTTCTCGACAAAAATTCGTTGATGATGTCACTGAAATCTAGCTCCCGGAGCTGCAGGTTGTCCTGCGGGGTCAACTGTTTTCGATTTCTCTTGAACCCATGAGTACAAATTACAAATCACACATAAAAAAAAAGGTTTGCCATTGAAATACTTGATCAAATCAAAAATTGATAGTGAATGGAAACTTGCAATCAGGGCTTTCTGATATATCGATAACAATATTATTATATTTGTGCAAATGATCTAAGTAAAAATACAATCAGAGGAGAGCAAAGATATTGACATCGCTAAAGCGGCTTACACACGTGAGAAACTGGTTCAACTGGATCGGTTCGGCGAACCAAGTTCTTGTTTCGTAACTCCCTATACATTGTGTAGGGGATTGTGAACAAGTTCCATTCCAGCAGAGAGAGAGAGAGAGAGATAAATTGATTTGAACATTCATTTCAAATATCCATGTATATTTATATTTTTTGACCAAACTGTGTTCTGCTATACAGCACTAGTCATGCCCTACCACACCTTGAATGTCCAGTATATAATTAGCCCTACATATGTATTTGTTTATATTAATCATAAAGTGGTATAATTCACTGTACATACCAAAACAATGCTGTTTTCTCTCACAAGAGGTATTGTTCAAAACGACTCCTCTGCTGCGATAAGAACTATTCATATCAATATTCAAACAAAATATTTCATTTTCATATTCTTCACACTACTGATAGTGTTTCAATATGATCATCAACAGTATTGTAGTTTTCCAATTCCTGTAAAGTGCGACATATTCATTTTCTACAAGTTTTTCCAACTAAATGATCTTGAAATATTCAAGTGTCACTAATACGAGTAGTTCCTAGTACCTACAGCGTCCTGTTCTGTTGAAAATGCCGTACCCTTAAGGGGACGAAAACGAAGCTGGAAATTTTTATGACACATTCGTCATTTTTAACATCAACAATATAACACTTGGTATTGAGCTTCTTCACTACGTATAAAACGACAGATAGTCAACCGACAATATTTCGTATCGATATATAATATCATGATTTAGCAAAAACTCAACCCTTAAGGGGTTGAAAAGCGAACCAGATCCTTAGATTGAATTAAGAAAATCTCGAGGACACCTACACCTGATGATGTCTTAACAGGCCTTCTCATAGGTCACTGTCGTCTGAATTATCATATGTAGAGACTTGGACTGTCGGAAGACAGAGTATATCGCCTCTGTTTGGAAAATGATGGAACAGCAGAGCACATACTTTGTATTTGCCCCGCTGCAGGTTTTCAGAGTTTGGCAGAGCCGAACTCTTACCATCTGACCCGAAAGACTACTCACCATATAAGGTAATCGGCTTCGTTGAGAAGCTCAGTTTATTCGGTTGAGTATGAATAGGTGTGAGCCTATTGCGGGTTGCGATAGAGGGTCGAATAGACCCACTCACTTCTGACGTAACCTAACCTAACACATCTACTTCTGAGGGCTGAGAAGGGGTGGGGACCCTTTTATGGAGACTGGTATTGATTCCCACCAAAATTCTTGTGGTCTCCTTTCTAATGGCATTTGCTTCTGTGCATTGTACCATATGCTGCTTATATAACGATTTATATATAGTTTATAACTAAAAGAAATGTATGTGCCTGACCTTCATATTTTTTGAACATTGTATTTTTGTTTTTTGGTAAATCTCCCACATTTTTTTCCCAATGATGAAGCGTAACCTGAGTAAATATGTTAATACTACGCTCAACAATTTTATTATTTTTTATCTGATCAATACTGTAGATTGCTGAGGAAAGCGGTGTGTTAACCTAGCACCTATCACCTTTCGAATTAGTTTTTAGGTTTTAGTACATTACTTACATCATTATTTTCTTTTTTGTTTCAATAAAACCGTTCAACATT